TGCACCTACATGAGAAAAAAAAAATTTTTTATTTATATGCATTAGTTGTGGCGTAATTCAAATTTTAATATGTTAGGGTTTGCAATGATCGACGGGTGGTCGGATATTTTTTGGAGGGGAGTGTACATAGGTCATCATACATTACATGTTATCTATATACTCATAATATTCGTTATCTTCCAAAAATTCAATATAATTTTGACTTAATTTGGAAAAACATTGTTCCGACAATTTGTAATTTGAGGAGAAAACAAATGTAATGTATATTTTTATACTTGCATTGTGTACATTACAAATGACCCCAATTTAAAACTTGGAAGCTAGATCGAGAATAAAAAGATAATTAACTAAAAGAATCATATTTCAAAATATCAAAAAAAATATATATATATATATATATTAAATCCTTCGAATGATTTGATTTTTCAGTCTAATTTATTTATTTGCATGTATTAAATAATTTCCCAACTTTTCACCATAACGAATGCAGCATATATTTACTGAGAACACTTACAAGCCTTTTCCTCAGTTTCCTTCTCTCTCGCAAACGCAGCTTTCGCTGGCACATTCTGTATATATATATATGTGAACCAGAAGATTCCTTGGTAACAGCTGCAAAAGTTCTACACTTTCTGGATAAGGTACTGGTTCCAGTCAAAGTGCTTCGACCAATAAAACTGGTTACCCAACTCCAGAAGGGATTACAATTGAGCCATGTGGAAAATATGTGCCACGTCAATATGGTGAATTCCGAAAATTGAAAGGTTAGGATATCTCTATTGCAAAATTTACATGGATTAAGTTAAGGAATATTTCCTTCACTGGGAATGTAAGAGATGTTTTGGTAATTTTATTCGAGTTGGAAAACCTGTATTTTAGTCCGCCACCATTAGCACAGAAATTTCGTCATTTATCCAGTTATGTTCCCGAACTTTGCATTCATTCAATGTATTGCAAATAAAGAAAGAACTTTGATTACATTTCGCAATTGGTTAATGAGCAATTCATTTGGTTATACAGTATTTAGTAATCTATAAATTATTGGATTGACAATGAGGATTTACTAGCTTCAATATACCAAAAATATATAGGTTTAGAGGATGTGGGTATTTTGCGTTATAATTTATCAATCATCACTTTTGACAAGCGCTTTAGAGCCTCAACTAGATACTACACACGTTCTTTCTTTTTCTTCTATACGACACTTCTTAGATTCAAGTTCATCACTAGCTCACCCTATCTTTAACGAACCCACTATTACTACTAAATCTTCTTCACATTCTTGCGCATTATCGAGGGCTTCTTTAATTAGCAAGATTCTTGCTAATGTAATAAATGTCGTTAAAGCGAAATACAATCCGTGACTATCCTCAAATCTGCAATACTAAGCATTATCCGTTTGAGGTGGTAATTGCAAATTTCGGGAGATAAGTAGATATTTGACGAATTAGTCGAGGAAGCAGTAATAAAACACCAAAAAATTTCTCACCTATAGACGTATTCATATTCGGACTTGAATGCTTCTTCCTGTTTTTCTTAAACACGTCCAGGTTCATATATAATAAACAATAACAATGGTTAATTAAACTAATTCCACGCCACTTATTAGACGTTGAACAAAATTTTGTGAAAGAACTAATAAAAAAAAATTTAATGAAATAACATTTTAATGAATCCTGCCGAAGAGAAAAGAAAAGGGTACAAGATTTTTTTTTTCGGAAAAGACGCCCCATTCCCTTCAGATCCTATCTGTTTTATCATGTCTGACAACTCGCTTCTTCTTGCTTTCCAGAATTGTCTTGACCCTCTTAAACTTTCATCAAACTGCATTATTCGATCCGCCATAAGTATATCCCAAAATTAAAATAATCAAAAAGTCCCTTGGCAATGATTTATTTTTTGGTTAAACAAGAATTTTTTTTGTTATTGTCCGTGTTCAATAATGATCAAAAGATCGCTGTGGCAGTTTCTGAGAATGTTTACATTGGTTGACCAATAACAGTACAACTTCCCGTATATACATTTTCCGAAGTAAATTTTCCGAACTCCAATTTCCTTAACTGGACACTTTCCTGAAACTTTCCTATTTATCTCCCGATAATCTGAAAAGGACATTTTATATAACTTGAGTAAAATTAATTATGAAAATTTTCGCGATGGGAAATAAAGATTCGGGAAAATATCATTCGGGGCCATAGGAGGCATGCGTTGAGCTTCGGCTGGTAAACTAAACATACACCCACGCAAAAAAAAAGGTACCGAGTTTTTGTTCACTGTAATTGCATTGGCGGCGCTAATTATAGTCATTGGCTAGTTATTCATACAGAAAACCGTCATATATTTAGAGATTAGCAAGTGTTGATTGAGCAAGCATTCTTTTACATGAAGAGTCATTTGCGTCAAAATTCGAGATTTTTTAATTTCCTGTATGGAGACTTGGGATACTTAAATTAGTAAAAGTGGGATTTGTATTGAAAAAGGAGAATATTTTTATAATTGGGTAGGGAAATTAATTTATTAAAGTCAAAAAACGAAGTTAAAAGTAATAAAAGGACAAAATTTAAAATAAAATCATAAAATTTTGAATAATTTAGGCAACGTAATAAAACCCTAATTAAATACATTATTTCTTTACGAAGTATGTCATATTCGAATTACAACCCTTCATGATTATTAAATATCTTATTAGCTTAAAAAATCAAATTGACTAAATTTTCTATTAATAGCCAAAAAGCATTCACTTTCACTTTCCACTTAACTTTTTTACATTATTACATTATTAATAGATATTCGAGACCATCGCCAGAAGTTTATTATCCTACTCTTTATGTTACAATCCCCGTAAAAAACAAAAAGTGTCGAATGTTTCAAATGCAAAGAATAACGATTTAAAAGTTGTGTAACAGGATATTGCTGTTGCTGAAATATGTTCAGTTGGTAAATGAGGAGGAGCACAAGCAGAAGTCTAAGTTTTAGGGTCGGTTTCTTTTTTTTTTTTTTTTTTTTTTTTTTTTAGAGGTGGTATAATAAAATTGATAGAAGAACGACAGAAAGTTATATATTGAAAGATTTATCTTCATTTCAATTGATCGTGATCTTAAGCATTCATCAATCACATTGAGGGAGGTATGTTCCGTTCTCAGCACCTTCCTCAATCTGATTGATTTAAAAAATCAAGAGCGATGATCATTTAAGTCTGGCCATCTTTTATACACAGATTAGTAACCAAAAGATCGCTTTTTTATTACATTATGGATATTCGAAACCATCGCCAGCCAGATTTATCCCACTCTTTATGTTGCAATTTCTTACAGAAAATAAAAAGTATTAGAATGTCCACATGCAAAGAGTAACCAATGCTAATCATCTTTTAGTTTTTAATTATGTCACAATGAACGAAACTATTCCATTTATTTTTCTCCCACCTAATACAAGATTGCAAAATCAACCAAGACCTAAAACTGATGGGTTTGGGACAGATGTTTTCCATATTTAGTAGATGGAGAAAGTTATAATTCTTTACGAAGATATTTTCGCGTTACTCGTACAACTTTCGCACCATTGTAACTCGATTAGAAATGCATCTAGCTTTTTTTCAGATGCCTCCTATATGGAAATAAATTGCTATTTATAAAATACCTTCCTTCCCCTTGTCTGGCCGAGGGGCCCTTCCGAGTCGTTGGACGAAGTTCAATTGTCGCTATTGTATTATGACGACTAGCAGGAATACTTGGAGTAAGTCAAGGATCTGCAAGAAATTTAATTGATAGGCACACTAATAGAAAAGAATCACATGGATACGTGTATCACGATTGGCAGAAGTAATACAAGGAGCGTGGAGAAACTAATTTAGAAAATCGTAAATTACCTAATCTTCTTGGAATTGTTGACGTTATACTTAAATAATTCAATTCATAAATGAAAAATTTTAACACTTTATTTTCTTTTTTAAAAAAAAAAAAAAAAAAGATTGGACAGCGAATAATTCATAATAAATTTTGTAAATTGACTTCAATATATTATTTAATAAATAGCTTAAAATAATTGACTTTATATCGATTAAAAAAAAAATTTGTAAAATAGACATTTCTCGTGTTATATAAACAAATTATATAGTTTATAACGTCATGCTCTTTTATACGTAATTCAACTCGAATAAAATTAGCTTCGTTGATGTACGACACGAATTATTAATAATTTAAGAAAAAAATATTGTATAAAAAGTGAATCATCTCATCTGTCTGATAGAAGAAACAAAAAATTTGTCTGATTTTTTTTTGCAGTATTTATAAAACATTCCTATTTTATTAATGTATTATTATTGTATTTATTTTTTTTTTTTTTTTGACCTTTTTTAGATTCCCGATCGTAGACCACCTCCAATTCATCCAGATGACGATAAAACAATCGCTATAGAATAACAAAAGGCCTTATATCTTTATATTTTCATATATTGTAAAGTTGTGATTATTTTTTTTTTTTTTTTACGCCAGAATAATGAATTTTGCATTATTTTCTTTTTCTATTGATGATCAAAGACTTAAAATGAGACGTGTTGTACATCACTTATCACAAGTAATTTTATTATTGAAGATCCATATTCGAATATCGTGATTTTTATTGGTCATTAATTTATAAATATTATAACAAAAATAGAAAGAATTACATTTTTAATTTATAAATGAATAATTTTTTTTTTTTATTGAATAAAATGATAAAAATGAATAAATGAATAAACGATTGAAATAGATTCTAATTTATTTTAATTGATTTACAAGCTTTTGGATATGTTTTAGGACATGCTACTTCCTTAAAGGTCCAACTTTTAAAGTTACCATCTATTTGAGCGCATTCATTTGCTTCAAATTTGAGGTATTTCGCTTGGCCAGGAGTCGACAAATCTTCATGAACGATCAAATGAGAACAATATGGACCATCGTCTGGAATATCATCACGTTTCGTCACTAAACAAGGATCGGAACAATCCATCATACCTTTGTCGAATAAAGTTTTACCCTTACAATCCGTAATATAAGCATGACAAAACAACCCCTTTTCCAAGCTAGATATGGCACTATACATATAAGAAGCTATATCAAACAAGATACAGTCATTAGAATAGAGTGAAAGATCCGAATGGTTTTCTATCCAGATTAAAAAAAAATCTTACCTTCAGCTATATTAGCTACTAGGAAACAGAGAATGGAGATGGCAAGGACGAAGGAAATAGAGTATTTCATAGTGATAATAAAGTAAAGATGTTTGTTATTTTTTTTTAGATATTTTTTTATTGTTTTCTTTTTATTTTCGATTGAAAATTTCAAAGGCATGCCTATTACAGTATTTATAAAAAAATTTGTCTATTATGATCTCCTATTGGATCTACATCCAATTCAAAAAGTTCGTTTCAAAATAATTAGTATTAAGTTAAGTAATAAGGATTAACATCAAAGTGATCATCATCGATCGAATTATATATTTAATTAAATAAAATATTCTTTTTATATCTCAAAAAAGGAAGAGAAAGAGAAATAACAAAAATAAGGTTTCAAAATTTCATTTTTATTATAATTCATTCTAACTTTATTAACTTGGATCCTTATAACAGTATAGGCAAGCCCAGGAATCCTACTCCCAATTCTAAAATTCGTTTAATACAGCGTGTAATGTTTCAGATATTACAGTTACTACATAAACTTGGAATGTTTCTAAATTTTATTAATATTTTACGCTACGATCTAAATTTCTCTGTGTAAATTATTCTAATCTCATTCTTGATAGATCTAAAACAATTTAACGGAACTTTTTTGAAATTAGAATTAAATAATTGATTTAGGTCAATTAGAGTGATATACTCGATTTGAATTAACGGCATTTGATATTCTTTTTTTTTTTTTTTTTCAAATATAGTATGGCGAAATTGATTTTCGTCTGAAATTGGAATTTCAGACGATCTTCGAGTTTGAAATTAAATGAAATTGGACATTTTAACCAATCACAATACAGACCCCGGTGAAAGTAATGGCACTCAGTTTTTTTAATAATATGTGCGCAATTTTATAATAAAATATCAAAAAAAATTTTTATTTTCTGAAAGATAGACCAAAATTACATATGTTTTATTAATTGATTAATATTTTGTATGGCCACCTTCTGCGTCAATACATGCTTTAATGCGACTTGACATGCTATTAATGCAGTTAACTATTGCGATGTTTTCAATATCATCCCATTCCTTCCTAATTAAATTTTAAAAAAAAATTTCTTTTGAAATTTTTTTCTTTTGTGCCACCATTCTCTTGACCTCTTTCTCCACATTTTTCTTTAAAATAGCCCAAACATTCTCAATAAGATTAAGGTCAGG